AATTGCTTGGTAAAACAAAAGAATCATAAGACTAATTTGACTTGAAGGCCAACTTCAGAACGAGAGCAGTGCTTGTTTTGAATATGGTTTGTTAGACACAGTTCACATGATTGCTAGCAGCTTGTAAGGAAGTGGCCTCAACTTAAAAGGGGCTTTGAGAATGGTGACTGCTCTGTAGGCCAGGTACATTGTTGGTTGCTTTTCTTCCCCTTACTGAATGAAGTTATTCTGCTTGTTCTGTTAAGAAATGGTCAGTGTGACACCAGCAAGCCTTATCCTAGCCTTAGCAACTGGACAGCAGGACATGATCAGTACAGACTCCTGAAATTAACACTCTTCACATGCCAACCAAGAACCCCCCCCCCCTTTTTTTCCCCTGCAGTTGTTTTCTTAATAATTATTTCCTAAATAATTAGCTGCTAAATGTTTATCTTCTTAAGCCAGAGGATATTATTAGAAAGTTGATTTTAGAGAGAAAATTGGGGGGAGGGGGGAAAAGAGAATGGTGAATGGGAATCTGCTGCTGCTGGGAGTTGCATCATTTATTAAGGGCTTTGCCTCTCTTTCTTGCTACAGTACATATTGCATACCTCGCTGCCGCCTTGCACAGTAGGTGAAATTCTGCGTCGTTGAAGTGCTTGCTGGAGATTTGCCTAGGAGTAGAATTTGATCTGTTGGGAGACCGGGTGTTGTAACAGGGGGGTGGGTGGATTGTGGGGAGTGGAATAGCAGCAGTGTCCTGGAAAGACGGGCTACATATCCATTGAGGTTTTGAACCTTCTGGTTGTAGGCTTTATAGGCCATTCAAGATCATTCCTATGTCATTCTTTCCTGGTCTGCAAACAGATGTGTTGATGCAGATAGTGCCCTGAATGCTAAAGAACATAATTTTCAGTGTGCTCTGCCTAGTTTGAGAGGAGAAGGGTTAGTCTTCCTTGAATTATTTCCCACCCCTGCTCTTCTTCGCATTGACCTCTTCTAGCTGAGTATCTAAATGAGGATAATGTTTCTTCTAAGTCTCAGTTTACTGGACAGTTAATTTTAAGACAAAAAGAGAAAGCTGGTGAAGGTTTACACCTGAGCATATTAAACTCTGAGACCTTTTCTTATCCGCCTTTAGAGAACTCTGGTTCATGATGTAACTCGCTGGTCTCTTGGGGGCTACTGGGGGGAGGAAAGCTACAAGTTGTGATATGCATGTGTTGTCTTTTATATGTAAACCTTATTGGAACCAACTGGCTATGGAGCGAACCTGGATGGCTAAGGACATTTCCAAAGAGAAGGCTGAGAAGGTTTCTTTCTGGTTTTCAGCTTTTTTTTTTAAAGGCACCAGTTTAGTTTCTAGCTCTGTGTTTGGAAATGCTGCAAAGCCTTTTCTTGGATTCTCTAAACCGTCTTCCATTTAAAGCAACAAAGAGAGCCTGATTTCTTGTACGCAGAAGTGGAAGGGGAAAAAAATAATCAACCCTATTATGACTCCTTGGATTCTCATGGCTTTTAAAGACCTAATCAGTGTGCCTTTTAAGATGCAATATATTTTATTCCCTTGAAAGCAAAAAAATTTTAAAAATGCTTCATTGGTTGTGGTGCATAGTCTTTGTGGAGGCTCTCCAGTGATTGAAGATTAATAATCACTCTGTTGTAGGCAGGGGAATGGAGACAGACGGCTGCAGGAAAGGAGGGGTGGGGAAAAGAGAGCGTGAGACTTTTATTCTGAAGCAGACTGTGCTTGGCAGTTGGCTTTTGTTGGGACTGCTGTTAAAGCAGACATTTCTCTGCTAGGAGGGTGGGTATAAGATTTCTCTGCCAATCAGAAGCCGACAGATTGGGGCATGGTGGAGTGTGAGCAAAAAGGGAAGTTTGCTTTGAATTTAAGGGGAAAAAATGGAGGTATTGACACTTACAACAAAGTTGTTGCTAACAAGTTTGGGTGAAATTGTGTGCTGGATGGAAATGGATGGGCAACTGGAATCCTGCTGATTTTGGAGGAGTGTGTGTGTGTGTGTGGTGTTGGTTGTGTGGATTCTGCAGGGCTCTGTTTGTGTGAATACTGTCTTCAGGCTGAAAATGTTTGTCATAAAGTTGATGCAACTGTCTTTTGATAGAGCTAGAAGGAGGAAAGCTGCCTCCTCCCCAGGCTTTATGGGAGGCAGGCTTCGAATGCTTTGCAGCAATTGTCTGGTGTAGCCTCCTTTTGATAAGTATGCTTCACGACTTCCAGTAGTCTTTCCCTCCCACTGGGCAAAGATGCATTGTGCTGCTTCAGACATTGATGTTGGGGTTTTGTCTTGGGTTTTTAACGAAAAATGAAAGTGGTGGAACTGATGTTGTTAATGAGGACTGTTTGGATGTGGTTCTGGAATATGGACCATGCGAGCCTGTCAAAAGCAACCTAGAGTAACTCTGTCTGGCGGGGCACAGGTGTATTGGCTGTGAACTGGGAAAATGGAGAGTGCTGCTAAGTTTCTTTTATGATGATGGGAATTCTCTTAGAAAGCTGGTTTTGTTTGCAAGAATTCTGGGCAGCAGGGCACTCTTGTTAATTACAGTAGCTGAGACATATTGCTATGATCAGTTCATTCTTCAGAGTTCTAGCAGTGACTTTCCTTTAGGCCTCTTCTCTTGCGTGGCAATAACATATCCCTTGAAAAGGATATGGGGGGGGGGTATGTGAGATTTTTTTTGTGGGGGTGGGTAAGGTGTCAAATTTTGAAGTAAAGAGATTGTAAATCAGTTGAGCAAAAATGGCTTATCTTAAATCCTGAGGCTTTTAGTTGGAATCATTTTAAAGGTGGGAACATAAAAGGGCTTTATTTGAATGACATAAACCTCTGAAAACAAACTGGTCCCTGTTAAAGATACTGAGACTCTTTATTTTATTCCAGTTGCTGTAGCAAGGACGAGTATTCATTCTTCATGAGCAAAAACCCCTGGTCTGTGTCGTTGTGTAGATACCATGGGACTGATTCTGCTCATGCTTGTGCTAGTCTTATACCTGTATAATACCATTGGCTTGCTCCTGGTTTACACCAGAGCAAGGGAGATGAGAATTGGGACCTAAGTATACATGTGTGCATCAAGAATAATGTTTTAACTCTTGGCTTACCAAAAATGAAGTTGGCCTCCATTCAAACTTCAGGCTGCATTGGTGCTCATTTCACTGTGGAAAATGCACGTGTCCCTTTGGCAAAAGCTTGTCTTGTTCAGGCAGGTTGATCATATGGCTAAACTAGAGTTTACATCACTCTTTAAAAAAAAAAAAAAAAAAAAAACCCCCCACCTTTGCATTTTTTAAAAAATCTGAAAATAGTGTGTCCAATGTTTGTGTTTCCTCTCAAATGGGATCTCCTGGAAATGCGCCTGTGTGGAGTGAGGCCTGCACAGGACACGTATTACTCATGTTGGGAACGATCCTGCAAGATGCAGAGCGCCCTCAACTCCCCAGGCAGGACTTGGGCCCTTGACGCGTAGCTGCTACATTTTTCTAGATAAAAAGGGAGGTTTTCCTGGAAACGTTTACAAGTGGCGATTTCCTTTCCATTAAAGACTTTCTCTTCTGATTAGCTTAGTTATCCATTGCTTTTCAGATGATGCCAGCATTTTTGTTTAACCCTCTGTGCTGTGGCATTGGTGTCCTTCCCTGCTCTTTCCTGAACAGCCTCTAGCCAGTGACATTAGCATGGGCCCTACGGGATGGTTACTAAATGGACCAGGTGGGCTTTTGCAATACACAATGGGAGAGCCTCTCTGCTGTAACACCTAGAGGAACTTGGCAGTGCCCCTGAGCTCATACGGAAACAAAAGTTGCCTGGTGGCTGATTATAGTAACACCAAGATCAGCTGTGTTGCTAGCCTTGGAAGGTTCAGACTTAAATGACAATGGAAAGGGCAATACTGTATGTGTTCATATCTTATCTCCTTTGTTTGCTTTATGGGAGATGGGCAGGGTTTTTTTTTTCCTTATCGCCCAATGTGCTTTAAACCTTTTGATTTGCATGGCTGCAGGCACCATCTGTGCTCTGTGGAGGCCTACAACAGTTGGCTTGACCTAGGCTTATTCTTCTTCTGTGATGCACACAGCATGAAATGGACCCTTCACCCTTGCCATTCCCCAACCCTTAAGACAGACAGTTCTGTTTGTGTTAACCAGATGCAGCTTTGCCAGGCAGTTGCCATGTGTACTCTTTAAACTAGCTTGTCACTTTAGCCAGAGAATTGTGTCAAAAGGCTCCTCTCCTATGTTTTTTTTAAATATACCCTTTTCCTTTCTGTTGCTGCTGCGCTTTTCTTTATGGCCAGGCATTTATAAGATAAGCAGTGTAGCTACCAAGCCCATATAGCAGCGGGATGCCAAGTGCCTCAGTGGCTGAATAATATAGCAGGTGTTCATTAAAAAAAGCAAAAACTGTAGAAGTTAGATTAGGGTGAGAAATGGATACCATTACACTCAATAAACTTAAATTATGTATTAACTGTTGCTTTCCTAGGTTGAAGGCTTAACTCTTGCAAATTGTGTCTCTTCAACCTGGGAAAAACACCTATGTTTATCATCTTTGCTTGGCTAAGTTCTTGGCACAGTGGCCAATAGTTTCAAAAGTGACAAGTGAGTCTGATAGTCTCATTTTTGTGAGATACCCATCTTGACACCTTCATTCAGGTTCCTTTAGGGTGTGTCAAGGTGGGCACCCAAAACCACTAGTGAAAAATCTTGGTCCACATTTTTTCCCCATGTGATCTTAGATCTCAGCTATACAAGAAAATCCACGCGAATTAGATGTGCTGCCAGCTCTAGCAAGCCTTTGAATTTTTGATCTTTGACCTGAACCTTGCAGACAGTTTCCTGGAGTTGTTAATTTTCACTCTGCAGTTTGCCCATGACTTTTTTGCCCTGGCATGGGAATGTAAACAGGATATTTTCACCATTATTTCTTGTTAAAATGTATAGTGCATGGATACTGGGCTAAACAGTAATTGTTTCTGTCCTTCCTCCCGCACCCCAGCGAACAGTGCAGAGTAAGGCAGAGACTAGGAAAGACGTCTGCATGAAGACTGAGCTGCTGAAAGATATTACCAACAGTAAAGAGGAAGGTAAGTGCATGCTTTGATCTGGGACCAAACCTCATCAGTGGGGACACTGCATATGGCATGGTTAAAATGAACCAATAGATTAGTGACAGTTGAGCTGTGTGTATTAACGACCCTCGTCCTGCTCCCGTTAAAGGTAATGGCAGAACTCTACATGGGCTTCTGCAGCAGCAGGATTGCACCCCAAAGGATGCAGATGTGGATCTCAGTCTTTGTTCCCACCCATCACGAGAATTGCGCTTCTCACTTCTGCTTCTGATGTGCCTCTGAAACTGAAAGGAGACTAGGTTACTTTGATCTCCTGATCCATAACTAGTTTGAACTGAAGTCTGTCTTTTATTTCTCTAATGTTAATACTGGTAACGAATAGTTCCTTAGATACTAGAGAATCCAGCAAGTTGCTTTAAGGAATTGTTTTCACTCAGGGGACAATGAGTGGCTCTTGCCCTATGGAGTTGGTTGCTAATTGCTTCATGATCAAATTTGATTTTTTTTTTTTAATGTCTTGAAGCTTGTTTTGTGCTTTCCTGTGAGCTTGCTGTTTGCTTCAGGAAGCAATGGTGGCACTGGGGAATGACTGGGACATGGCCTGTCATTATGGGGATCTCCTTTACCTTGAACGATGCAGTGCACATCCTGCTTTTCATCACATAAGGTATTTCCAGCCAGAGTCTGTGTGTGTGTGTGTGTGTTGCACGCATGCACATGCAATCTGAGGGTTTAATATTGATCTCCATATTTACATCTATATCTCTTATTGTTTGTTTTTTGTTTTTTGCCTTCATGGGGTCATTACTGAAGTCATTGCTTCTGCATGGATGGGCATAATTTTGTTCTAATCCCTAGTCCAGGACTGGGGTTTAGAAAAGAACTGAACTGGCCCCTCCAAAATATTTCTAGTCCTGGTTGAACATGAGAAATCAGACCTTAAAATTCATATCAATATGAGCACCATTTTACTTTCCCTTTCTCTTCAATCCAGCATGGAATCGCAGAATGATAGAAATGTAGGAGGGACCTCAGGAGGTCATCAGATCCAGCCCCCGGCACTATCAAGTAAACCTAGACCAGCCCTGACAGGTGTTTGTCCAACCTCTTCTTAAAAACCTCCAGTGATGGAGATTCCACAATCTCCCTTAAAAGTCTGTTACAGAATTTTAACTACTCATATCATCAGAAAGTTTTTCCTAATATCTAACCTAAATTTCCTTTGCTGCAGAATAAACCTATTGCTACTTGTCCTACCTTCAGTGGACATGGAGAACAATTGTTCACCACCCTCATTATAACAAACAGGCTTTAACGTATTGGAAGCCTTATCTGGTCTCCCCTCAGTTTTCTCTTCTTTTCTGAAGACTGAACATGCCCAATATCTTTAACCTTTCCTCATGGATCAGGTTTTCTAAAACTTTTATCATTTTTGTTGCTCTCCTCTGGGCTGTTTCCAGTTTGTCCACATCTTTCTTAAAATGTGGCGCCTGGAGTTGGACACAGTACTCTGGCTGAGATCTCACCAGCACTGAGCAGAGCAGGACAGTTACCTCCCATGTCTTACATACGACGCCCCTCTTAATATATCCCAGAATGACATTAGCCCTTTTTTTTTTTTTTGCAACTGCATCACATTGTTGACTTGTATTCAGTTTGTGTGTGATCCACTATAATCCCCAGATCCTTTTCCACAGTATGACCACTTCGCCAGTTACTCCTCATTTAGTAATTGTGCATTTGATTTTTCCTTCCTAAATGTACATGTCTCTATTGAATTTCATCTTGTTGATTTCAGATCAATTCTCTAATTTGTCAAGGACATCTTGAATTCTAATTCTGTCCTTCAAAGTGCTTGCAGCCCACCCAGCTTGGTGTTATCCACAAATTTTAGAGGCATACTTTTCACTCCATTATTCAAGTCATTTATGAAAATATTATATAGTTCTGGACCCAGGACTGACCCCTGTAGGACCCCACTAGATACACCCTCCCAATTTGACAGTGAACCATTGAGAACTACTCTTTGAGTCCTGTCTTTCAGCCAGTTGTGTACCCACAGTATAGTAATTTCATCTAAACCACATTTCCCTAGTTTGCTTATGAGCATGTCATGTGGGACTGCATCAGAAACCTTACTTAAATCAAGATATATCACATCTGCTGTTTTCCCCCCTTTTCCACTTGGCCGGTTACCCTGTTAAAATAAATTAGGTTGGTTTGGCATGATTTGTTCTTGACAAATCCATGCTGGTTATTCCTTATAACCCTCTTATCCTCTCTAGGTGCTTACAAATTGATGGTTTAAATATTTGTTCCAGTATCTCTCCGGGTATCAAAGTTATGGTGACTGTCTATAATTCCTCGGGTTGTCTTTGTTCCCCTTTTTAAAGATAGGTACTATGTTTGGCTGTCACCAGTCCTCTACGACTTCACCCATCCTCCGTGAGTTCTTGAAGATAATTGCTAGCAGTTCTGAGATTGCTTCAATTAGTTCCTTAAGTCCCATGGGCCTAGGATGACTTTTGTGAGGCCCTATTGACTTGAATGTATGTAACTTACCTAAATATTCTTTAACCTGTTCTTTCCCTGTTTTCTCTTGCATTCCTTCCCCCTTGTTAATATTAATTGGGTTGAGTATCTGATCACTGTTAACCTTTTCAGAGAAGATTGAAGCAAAACAGCCATTAGACACCTTAGCCTTCCTGATATCATCAGTTATTAGTTCTCTTTCCCCACTAAGTAGAGAATCTACACTTTCCTACATCATTTTCTTGCTGGCAATATATTTGAAGAACCTCTTCTTACTAAGTTTTGTGGCCTATGCTTGGTGTAACTCATTTTGTGCCTTAGTCTTTCTGATTTTGTCCCTCCATGCTTGTGCTGTTCCTTGGTACCCTCCGTAGCACGTTGTCCATGACTCCACCTTTTGTAGGATTCCTTGTTGATTTTCAGGCATTCAAGAGCTCCTGATGCAGCATTTTGGCCTCTTACTATTGTTCCTAAATTTTCTTCACGGCTGGATAGTTGGTACTTGTGCCTTTAATCTTGTCTCCTTCCAGAGAGCTGGCAGTTCCTGAGCTCCTTTATCTCCTAGATTTTCTTCCCATGGAATCTTACCTATCAGGTCTCTGATTATGTTAAAAGTCTACTTTTTGGAAGTTCATTGTCCTTATTCTGCTGCACTTTTTCCTTAGTATCCTCAAATCTGTCACTTCATGATCACTGTTGCCCAAATTGCCTTCAACTTTCTGATTCACTACCAATTCCTCCCTGTTGGTCAGAATCAAGTCTAAAATCACTGCCCCTTTGGTTACTCCTTCCACCTTCTAAAACACAGTTGTCTCCAACACATTCCAAGAACTTACTGATGTTCTACTGACAGATTTGATGTTTGACATATTGCTGTTCCAACAGATATAGGGGTAATACAAGTCCCTCTCTATTACCAGGCCTTGTGTTTTGGATATTTCTGTTCTAGAAATGCCTCATCCACCTCCTTTTCCTGATTTGGTGGTCTAATATCACCCTTCCCCCCCCCCCCCCTTTTTATCTTTATCCTGAGACTTTCAACTGGTCTGCCTCCCACCTCCTTCTGGCCCTTGGCATAAATGTATATATTCTGGATGCATAATTCAATGCCACGCCACCTCCCTCTTTTCCCTGTCTGTCCTTTCTGAAAAAGCCGTACCCCTCTATACCAGTATTTCAGTCATGAGATTTATCCTACCAATTCTCAATGATGCCAATTTAATCCTAGTTTAGCTTATGTACTAATACTGCCAGGTTTTCCTGTGTATTCCCCATTTTTCTTGGATTTTGTATATAGACATCTAAGATGTTGAGCAGATTGCCTCACTGATTGCCCTCTTGTTGCTCCTGTGTAGAGTTCTGTGACCCTAGTGTACATTTCCATGTCTGCCCTCACCTCACCAAAAGCATAAGGTCACCTTTTTATGCTTACCTGTGGGCTTTTGTCTCCTGCCCTCTTTGAACCTACTTTAAAGCCTCCTTCACTTGGTTGGTGAGCCAGTGCTTGCAGATGCTCTTCCCCTTGTTGGTCAGGTGGACCCCTCTCTTCCCAGCAGTCCTCCTTCCCAGAACAGAGTTCCGTGGCTGATGTTTGTTTTTTAGAAACCGCTTTCTTACAAACCGCTCAAGTTAGAGACTGATGACCGTATCCTGAAAGCACTTGCACCCATGCTTGTCTTTACGCATGTGAGTAATCTCATTGAAGTCAAAGTTATATGTGTGCGTAAATCTTTGCACCAGTGTAACTGAGAGGAGAATCTGGCTGTGGTGCCTTCTATCACTTGGATGTGGGATATGAAGCTGCTTTTGCAAGATACAAACCATTGCTTTCTAGCTCTAGCTGGTCTCAGATAGCAACCTCTAGATTCTGATGGGTTAAAAAACCAAGATGATAATCAGAATGGAGTGATACTTGAAAGCCTTGATACCTCTTGACTGGTTTTTGGCTAAAAGGAAATACTGTGTATCATAGGAAAGTGGAGAATTTTTATACCACATGTGCAATGGTATAAAACGTGCATTTCCAGTCTTGGTGCTTCCTGAGGTATTGGACTTTAAAACCATCTTTCCTCCTTCAGTCTACCAGCTTTTTTTTACAGAATATTTCAAGTATGGAGGCCCAGACATGTCATTCCCATTCCCTATTGTGTTTTTTGTATTAGCCCATTATTTTAACATGTCTGACTACGGCTTGCATGATTATTTGGCTGTGTGGCTGGTATGTATAGTTCTAACCTGACCTTCACAAACCTACACTGGTGCCACATGAGTTTAATTAGGTAATGTTCCTCGATTCCATTACCAATAATGCATATCATTTATATAATGATTTACATTTTTAAGTGCTTCCCAAACATTAAATAATTATTAGTGCCTGACCATTTGTCAGGAAATGTTTTCTCTGGAAGTAGCATATGATGCAGTGATGGAAGGGCACCTCCCCAGATTGGGAGGTTTGGTTTGGTGAAATACCCTGAAGTCTG